TCTTTTCCCTAGCTGCTTTCAAGATGCTGTCTTTATCTTTGATTTTGGAGAGCTTGATTATTATATGTCTTGGTGATTGTCTTTTAGGGTCTATCGATTCTGGGGTTCATTGAGCTTGAATGCTTATCTTTTCACCTTTCAGGATGTTAGGAAAATTTTCTTCCATCAGCTCTTCAGCTATCTCCTCTGTGGACTTGTGTAATTGCTCCTGCTCTGGAATGCCAATAATTCTTATGTTATTCCTCTTCATGTTATCCAACATGAATCTTAGGCCTTCTTCACATTTCTTTATCCTTTTTTGTGTTTGCTCTTCTATCTTAGTAGTGTTGAGAGATATATCTTCTAGCTCACTAGTTCTGGCTTCTGTCTCTTCATTTCTACTCCTTTGCCCTTTCAGTGTATTGTCTATGTCTGATACTCTATTATTAATCGTTTGGGCCTCTTTCTGTAGGTTTTGAATTGTTTCCAATGCTGTATCTATCTTACTTGATTGCTCAGTCACTTTATCTTGTTTCTGGACATGTTAAGATATGGTCATCTGCTCCTGTTTTTTGGGCATATTCAGGGGTTATCTGTGGCCTGAATACTTAGATGGGTATGTATTTTGGTATTTTTATGCTTTCTGATTGCCTCCATGTAGATGTGATCAGGAAATGGGCTTCCCTTTTTTTTCAGTCTTCTTCTTGGAAATTTTAAGATGCCACTATTGGTCATTTTGATGTAACTTAGGATTTAATTTTCGGCCTATTTCCTTTTATGTCTGCTTGTCCCGCTCCACAATCCTCGTTCAGGCCTTTTTTCTAGTTGAAACAGTTCAGGGCCGGCTGTGGTCGTTTGGTTTTTAGTTTGTTTGTTTGTTTTTTTAAATGATTTATTGTGAATTATGTGATAGTTTACATGGGAGAACATTAGTTTTACATTCATTCTATCGTATATCGTCTTATTGCCATGGTTACAATCCCCTCCATGCAATCCTTCCCCCGTGCCCCCCAGGTCTTCAGCACACAATCGCTCTCCCTCTCTGGATCCAAAGTCTACAGTTGCTCCATAGCTCCTCGTCATCATCTCTGGCTCCATTTCAGGCATCACTGCTTCTCTGGGTAGGGTCCCGCACTCTGCTCTTCTCCCTTGATGGTCCTCAGGACCTCCGCTCCCAGACCGAAAAGTCAGTCACTCCCCTCCTTGCTATAAAACATCCACCTTTACACTTCCAACCCTCACAGTCAGTCCTGATAATGTGGTCGTTTGATTTTAAGTGGAAACTGTCTCTTTAAATTTAGAGGAGATCTGTGTGCATGTGTAGTAGAACCCTCCGAGGGTGGGGCAGGGGTATCCACTAGCTAAGGCACCCCTATAGTCACCAGAATGGAGGTGTGCAGACAACAATGGACCGGTGAACGGCTACCAAAAGAAAAGAATGTCCACACCTTTGTCTCAGCGGTTCTGCCAGGTGTCTTTGGCCACTCCGATCCTTCCCCTGCTCTCACCCAAGATGGTGGCTCCTGGAGCAACTGAGCTTCCTGAACTAGAAAGCAATGGATTTCTTGCTTCTGCTACAGATTCACCCAGCTGTAAGCCTTCTAACCTTCTAAATATTCCTTTATATTTGGTTCAGAGTTCTGGGACCATCTCCTGAGCCTGCTTGGTCGGGTATTCTGTGTCGTTGTTGGCTGAGCTCTTTAGAACACTTCCACCTGAGCCGCTATCTTGTTTGTTCCTCAGACCATCGGTTTACACTCATCATTTCACTGCAATGAATACAATCTCCTTCTTATGTCATCATTCAACAGTATTTACCTCTGGAATTCCCTCTGTTATTTATTTATTTAGGGGGTGGGGGATATACACAAAGCACTCAGGAATGTATAATCATTGAAATAACCAAAGGGTATATTTTGCAAGGCTTCCTCGTGGCTGCCAGCACACAGCCTTTCTCTTCCATGAGTCTACAGCCCTCATCTATTCCCTCTCTCCATGTCCCCATCTCTGGTGTTTCTGCTTCTCTGAATAAGGTCCCACATTCCATCTGTGCTCTTCTCCCTTGATGGTCCTAGGGTCCTCTGTTACTGGGCTGTAAGATTAACTATTCCCCCCTTTTTGTTACAAAACATCTACCTTTAAAGTTGTTGACAGTCACAATTAGGAGATGAAATTTGATTTTGTTGGGGACAGATTCCATGTCCAGAAAGTTTACACTTGCTTCCATCATGTGTCAATTGTATCTGACTGGTAGTTGAGATTCAATATTTTAGGATTTTAAAATAGGGAATTCTGTGATGATAATGGCTGCAAGTTTCTGGAGGCTCCTTTTTTTGCTGCTGTTATTATTAAATGCTATTGAGTCAGCTGCAACTCATAGTGACCTTGTATAGGGTTTCTGAGGTGTGGCTGGTGAGTATGCACTGGTGACCCTGCAGTCCAGTGCATTATCCTGCAGTGCCCCCAGGTATATATTAAGCTTGTACCATTTATTTGTTAAAAATGTGACGACTACAGTTTTGAGTTCAGTTTAGACCTCAAAGAGCTTATGCTACTGTAAGAAACTTGTATTTTAAGTTACAGTCATGATTGTGATGTCCACTAGAACATCCTGCTCTTCTGTAATTTAAGTTAGCTGTTGCCTCATATTTATAAATAACTTCAGTGTAGGACAGGTGATGTTATCAATGTGTTCACCAACTGCAAAGTCTTCAAGAAATGCTCAATACTAATGGATTGTCTTGTCTTTTAGAGCAAAGGCACAACTCCTCTTGCTCCACCACCTAAACCTGTTCGAAGAAGATTAAAATCAGAAGATGAATTAAGGCCAGAAGTCGATGAACATCCACAGAAGACAGGTGTCTTAGCTGCGGTTCTTGCCTCACAGCCTTCTATTCCAAGGTAATCACAGCAATTCCTAACCACATTTAATTACTAGAACAGAAAGTACAACTACTGAAGATATCAAACTGAGAGAAATTATGTCAGCCTAGTTTGGGGGGTTGAGAAAAGGTCATAACAGTTCCTCTTTGAGACTGTTCTCATTTATTGATCTCATTGTGTTTATTTTCCTCCAGTAAGTATTAAATTCTATTCCAATTCCATTTTTACTTCCTCTCACAAGCCATGAAGCACACTTTGTAAAGGTTAGTGGTGGAATGTAATGTTGAAAGTTTAATGTGGGTGTTCTAGACAGGAGTCAGCCAACTAGTGCTGATAAATGCTATGTCTTGCCCCTAAGAAGGAAAAGGAAAAGCAAAACAAAACACAAGAAATGCAAAAGACCATATAACCCACAAAGCCTAAAATATTTCCAACCTGACCACTTGCAGAAAAAAGCTGCCAGTGTATGCTCTAGGCTACTTCTCTGTTTTACATACAGTCCCATGATTCTATGCAAGTAGACTGATTGAAATGAAAGCAACAATTAAAATCAACTTCTGGAGCTTGAATACATTTGCTTGACCATTGAAACTGAACAAGTGAAGCTGAGCTATGCTAGTAGGGAAAAAATGCTCCTCTACTTTGTCTTAACATAGATCTGGGAAGAATGGAGAGAATTTTAAGATAAGAAATAAAAGGTTTTTTGCCTCTTTATTTTCTCAGATCTGTTGGGAAAGATAAGAAAGCTATTCAGGCATCTATTAGACGAAATAAGGAAACGAACACAGTTTTGGCCAGATTGAATAGTGAATTGCAGCAACAATTAAAGGTAATGTAATTTCTAAATCTCTAGGAAGTTCCATGGACTCAGAACCTCAGAATTCAAGAGAAACTTAGAAGTGACCTAGTGATTCTTAAGCTTGTATGAAACTTTCCACACAGCAAGAGAAATAGGTATTTAAATTTTTAATGAGTCTTTGACTCTTTTAGTGTAAAAGCATTTTTTTTATATTGAATGCTGATATGCACACCTTATCCTACATTTGGACCGCTGTATGGCACTGTAGGGTCAGCACTGGACCTTGGGGGGTTTGAAACAACAACAATCCTTACATATACATGAGGCACCATAGGAGATCTGGGGTGGTATCAGTTAAGCACTCAATACCAACCAAAAGGTTAGTGGTTTGAGCCCATCCAAAGGAGCCTCTGAGAAAAGTCTGGTGATCTGCTTCTGAAAAGTCACACCCTTGGAACTGCTATGGGACAGACTTGTACTCTGCAACACATGGGGTGGCTGTGAATCAGAGGAGGTGCCATAGCAACTGGATTTTACTTTATTTTTTCCTATAATGTTTCTCAATGTTCAGATCCTACCTTTCTTAAATGTTGTTGTTGTTAGTGCCGTTGAGTCGGTCCCGATCCATAGCCACCCTGTATAGGGTTTCTGAGGAGCAGCTGGTGAGCTTGAACTGCCAGCCTTGCAGTTCAAACGGCTTAGCAGTCTGGCACATTAACCCACAGTGCCACGCCAGTTCTTAAATGTATCTTTTAAAAATATGAGCAGCTGTCCCCTATTCAGTCTTAAATTGTGGTCTTGAAGCAGAGTTTTTGTTAGCTGTCCCTTCGGTTTTCTCTTCGTTGCTATATGACTTGGCCTTGTGGTTTTTTCCAGGATGTTCTTGAGGAGAGAATTTCCCTGGAAGTTCAACTGGAACAACTCCGACCATTCTCCCACCTATAAGCCAATTGCCGTTCACTGTGAACATACCCACTTTTAAGCAGTTTTGGGTTCAAAGCCAATTTGGAGACCCAGACATTCAGCTCACTGCTTAATTCAACATTAAATTTATGATTCTGTTTTGCTCTATATGTTCACCATTGTATTTAAGTGTCTTTTATTTTTTAATTTCAACAATAAAAGGGTCAGGATGACTTTTTCTGGGGCTATATTGTGTTTGTTGACCTCCTCACTCTTGATATTCTGAGGCATTAGGAGGAATACATTGATCCACGATAGTTTCTTGGCCAAAACTTCACTCTGATTTGATTTATAGAATGCATTTCTCATTTACATCTCAAACATAGACTCAACAATCTTCAAAAGGAAAACAAACTTAAATAAGCCAATAATCTCTATTAGGTTTAATAGTTTATATAAAGTAATCTATATTTATTCTGTAAAAATCTTTCAAATCAGTTTCCTATTTAACTGTGTAGTTGAAAGAACTCTCCAGATAAGTCATTCTTCTGCCCCAAGCTGATTATCAGAACATCTTCTTTTCTGCAGTAATACAGTCTCTGGGAGTCATGTAACACTTAGATTTCTTTGGGAGCTAGATTTCATATTTCTTTGAGAAGATCTTATCAATCTTACTAGTGTCTCAAAAAAAAATCCTCTATGAGATTTGAATTCAACAGTAGTCACATCAATTATGAAATGGGTAGAAAGATAGGCCTTTCTTAGTTCTCCCTTGATGGTGAAGGGTCAGTGTGAAACCACCACATAAATACTGTCTACTTGGACACATTACTGCTGTTTTGTCTGACTTGTATACTTAACTTTTATTTCAGAGGACATTCATTACTCAGAATTAATGGAATGTAAGATTTCTAGTCTACCTTCAACTGTCTTGTCACCATTCCTTTGCTATAGTAGTTCTATCCTGTTAACAAAGAGCTCCTGGATTTCTATGTTACGCCCTGGTATGGTGGTGTAGGATATACACTAGACTGCTAATTGCAAAGTTGGTGGTTCAAACCCACCAGCTGCTCCTCAGAAACCCTATACAGAGTCCCTATGAGGCAGAACCAACTCAGTGGCACTTAACAAACAACACTGTATAAAGCTTTGAATCACATCTATGTCTTTGCATTCATTGCTGATTAACAGACTTATTCTGTCTATGGGATCACAGATATTAAACTGCATGAATGTATCTTAACAGAATCAGAACTATGAATTAAGTAAATTTCATAGTAATAGGACAACACCTTCTAAATTTTAAACAAAGATGTAACTTTTTAAGAATTAGAAGGAATTTGTATTTTCATTGTTGAAAGAGGAAAATGTTTAAAGAGCCTAGGTTCACAATCTTAGATTGTACCAGTACCTTCTATAACTTTAAACAATAGGAAGCAAAAAGGAAACGGATAGCCTAACCCTTCCCTGATTAATTTTACTTCCATTTGGGTTGAACTCGGTAAGGGTAAGGAGCTCTGGTAATGTAGTGGTTACAAATCGGGCTACTAACCTCACGGTCAGCAGTTAGAAACTACCAGCTGTTCCACTGGAGAAAAATGAGGCTTTTTGCTTCAGTAAAGATTTACAGCCTCGGAAACCCTCTGCAGGGTCGCTATGAGTCGGAACCCACTCCATAGCACATAACCACCACCACCAGGTAAGGGTATTGTTGCTGTTACATGCCTTAGAAGGGTTCCAAGTGACATGTAAGTAGTGACTTCAGTTTGTTAAACTAAATCAGTTGAAGACTTGCAAGAATCAGGAAAGTAGACTTGACACCCATTTTACTGTTTCTCTTTCCAAGTATAACTTTCAATTTTTAATTTGTTTTTACTTCACTAATTTCTGACAGTCAAGGTTTGTTGGATTTCCATTTATTTGTATTTAAAATTGTCTTGGTCGTTGTGTTTTTACCTGCTAATTTAACACTCACAAATACTTTTTTAGCTTATTTGGAAGGTGTAAAAATTCAGTTTTTCAACAAAACCACTTTAAAATTACAGAAGACTTTTTAGTACATTTTTGTGTAACAGTATATTTTTAACGTTCTTGAAAAGAGTACATTCATACTAATGATATGTGTAAGATTGTGAGTAAATAAATCACCATTTTGTATTTCTTAAAGATATTTTTTAAATCAACAATTGTTTATGAAAATGTTAATCACCAAAAACCTAAACTCTAGACTGATCATATACGTAACATTGTTTCATACTGATTTAATTTCCCACTATATATAACCACACACTATACTTGCTCTGTCTTGGGCTTTTCAGTCAAATTACTCTAAACTGTATTGCCCATGAAAAATAACTTCCAAGAAAAGTGATTCACAAATTTGGACTCAAATTGTTCAGATTGTGCATTCCACATAATTGAGCAGTAGATGGTTCCGATTAAAAGCTGGAAAGAACTTATCAAGCATTCTAGTTCATCCTCCTGTCACCCATGACAAAGCATCATTATGCTGGTTACAAAATCTTCCAGAACAGGAAAATACATGTTGTCTTATCTTTGCCAGAGGAAGTTGGTACCCTGGATGAGTCCACTAACTCCAGTCTCACTTCTTCAGACTACTTCTAATTGCGTTTTGGAGTACTGACAACCAGAGAAATTTGTCATCCTCAACTTCTGTAGCACAAATCCATTCATGTCTTGGACCTTGAAGAACAAAGGAATTCTTGATATCTGTAAACATATTTGAGGTTTGTTAATTTTCACAGCTCATAATCAAAAGAAAAAAGGAAATATTTAAAAATTACTGAAAATATTAAGAACTACCAAGTAATCTTTAAGAATTTTTTAAAACTGAAAAATAGGTATTCTAAATAAATCCAGTTTGGAATCTCATTTCTAGAAATTAGTGAATAATTCAAATATGTAGTAATCTAAAATAATCTTGCCTTTTTAAGTGTAAATTATATATGTTGTTAGTGCCATCCAGTCAATTCCAACCCATAGCAACCCTGTATAGTGTTTCTGGGGAGCAGCTGGTGACCTTGAACCACTGACCTTGCTGTTCAAATGACTGCAGTCTGAAGCAGCCTGGTATCTATTAGGTTGTTTAATAATGCTTTGACATCGGGCAGAGCTGATTATAGTGGGAGAGGAGGTGATGAAATGTTTTATAAAATCTGTAACCGTTAGTGGTTACATTAATTCCCTCCACTGGCTATTCATCTTTCAAGTTTTAAATGGAGTTGTAACTCATGAGAAACAGTTCGTGCTCTGAGATCTTGAGTCCAGCCTTAATCTCAAGTTCTGCCTTTACATGGGGTGAAAAACACTGGAATGAGAGATGTTCCACTCCGATTCTCGGACCTAACCAATATAAGAAAGAGATAAGGATTCTTTTAAGCTGTAAGATAATATGCACAATAGGTTTAAGTAGGATTTCTTTTTGTAACAAAATTAATGTTTATTATGAATGGAATGTTTGTGTTATTAAGCATCTTTGCAAATCTGTTAGTACCGCTATAGAAAAACTCCCAATTTAAAATAGGAGTTTAAGGAAGAAAAAGTACAGTGAAATCTTTAAAAGTCACTCACTCCTGGTAGAATAAAAGTCTGAAGTAGTGCTTTAGGATTCTAACACCCAGAGGTGGTAATAGAAGAGTGTTTTAGAGAAGTCAGAACAGGTACAGCTGGTTCTTATTTAACCTCCTTTGGTACAAGAAAAGACTCCAAGCATTTTCAAGTCATTTAAAGCTTCACATGCAGCAAATGAAGATGATTGTGAGGAAGAACTTGTTGAAAATCCAGGTTGGTTCAGTATTTCAAAATGAGGGCAAATTGATACAGCATTAAAGTGCAAGTAGAAGTTGTTCATTCGTTGGACGTTAGTAATTTAGGGACTTACTGTACTTCAGAAAATTCAAGATGATGTGGGGTCGTGTACTTGTGTAATTTTGTGTTTATAGTGTGTGTCTGATGATACCAGTAATCCTTTGTTTTGCAATTTCAAAGGTAGTTGAAAAGTTTACATTGCTTAAAGAAATTCTGATATTTTGGACATTATTTGCAAATTATAGTCCCTTTCTACTCCTTTAATAGTTAATGAGTTTTGTGTAATATAACTTTGTAAAGGAGGACACAAATCCATACATTTGGAATCTGGAACATCTTCTACAAGTAACCGAGGCAGAGCCACCGATGCAATGAACTGGTAGGTGGTTTTTGATGTCCTTTCAAATGGAATATGTGATGTATGCCGCCTGGAAACCAGCAGCACGTCGTTGAAGAGGAAAAGGCTGAGGTCATGGACATGTTCATACAGCCTGTGTGGAAAAGGAGGGGAGTGTTACTAAACATGGGTATTACGTGGACTTTGCTATATGATTGTTGTTACGTGCAGCCAAGTCAGTTACAACTCACAGCGACCCTATACAGGCTATACGATTAGCCATGTATAAACTGATAATGTTGTTTAATGCTGTGGAGTCGGTTCTGACTCATAGTGACCCTACATAGTGTTTCCAAGGGGCAGCTAGTGAGTTTGAACCACAACCTTTCGGTCCAGTGCTTTATCCCACAGCTCTGCACCAGGACTCCATAAACTGATGTTGTTAAGTGCTGTCGAGTCGGTTCTGACTCAGTACAACCCTGTTATAGGGTTTCCAAGGAGCAACTGATGGGTTTGAATTGCTGACCTTGTGGTTCAGAGTCCAGTGCTGATCCTATAGTGTCACCCCAGGACTCCCTAAACTGATACTAGTCAAGGTATTTTCCCTCCATAGCTCTATGGGATGCCTCCCTGCAGTTGTTGGTCTAGTTTTTCTTCGGTTGTAATCAGTGTCCTGTCTCTCAGGCCCGTATTGTGGGTCATTAAGATTCCTGGTGAAGTAGTTGGAGCTTGTCCGTTAGAGTATTTTATATTTCCACCCTCTGCTCTTTCACTCTGAGCAGTGTTGCAGTAAACAGATCCTTTGCATATAAATAAATTCCTTACAGATGCCTATATTTCTATCAAGATGCCCAAGAATGGGATTAATTGGTGACAGGATATATGTATTTTGATCAAAGGTGTTTCTAACCGCTGCTGTAATTCATAGTTATAATTTACCTTATATGAGAATGGCTCTGACTTGAACACTGTACAAATGTTAATGTGCACCTGAATTACCTGGAGATTTGTTAAAAAAAAGCAAATTCTGATTCAGTAGCACAGGGTTGGTGTGGTATTCTGCATTTCTTACCCGCTCCCAGGTGGTGCTAACCCTGCTGATCTTCAGACCTCATTCAGACTAGCAAAGCACTTGAGCCATTTACTAGTTAAGACCATGCCCGTGAACTAGGAAAGGACAGGATCAGGGAAGTAAACACTGTTTAAAAACTTGGTTGTGAATTGAGTAAAGACTCACACAGTAGATAATTAGTTTTACATCCAATAGTTCACACATGATGATGATTTCAGTGCCCTCCATGAAACAATTATCTCCTCATCTCTGCCCCTATCCCCACTCCACCCTCCTCAAGCCTTCTGAACTTTGCCCCCAGGCAGATGTTGTCCTTTTGATCCTGAGTGGTTGACTGTTCATTGTGGGCATACCTTACTAGTGGTGTTGTCTCTCCTATATACCTATCCACCACTTGGCTGAAAATTAGGTGGCGAGGGTGAATTCCGTTCCAGATATGTCTCAGGTTCCTCCAGTCTCTGACCACTAAGCCTGGTCTTTTTTTTAAAAAAATCATTTTGAGTTTTTGAGTTCCAAATTTCCGTCCACTCTCTCGGGGACCTTATAATGTGATCCCTTTCACAGTAGTGGGTAGGGGTAGCTGGGCACCACTAGTTATTGTCTCAGAGTCATGGAGGCTGATGTTCACATGTTCCATTATTCCACTGGACTAATTGATTCCAAGTATCTTCAGAAGCATCTTCAGTTTTCTTCACTCCTCTTTTTTCCCCCCACAAAAAAAGCCAATAGTTGCACTTTAGATGGCTGCTTTAAGATTGCAGTTGCCACTCAACAAAATAAGCAGAACATTGCCTTTGTGGACTATGTTATTCCAATTGACCATGTTGTCTCCTGAGACTGTGGTTCTGAGACCCCACACCAGAACTCATTGCCTCAAAGTGTTTGGTAATACCCAAAAACTTCATCATTTTGTCCCTGTATGCTCCACCAGACTCCTGGTGTGGCACTGTAGCACTGGGCTGCAAACCACAGGTCGGTGGTTCAAACCACCAGCTGCTCCTTGAGTCGGAACCAACTCGACGGCACTAACAACATGCTCCACCACATTCATAGGGGTGTTTACAGCAAAGGTAAATACCCATATACAAACATCCGCTATCAAACCCTTATATATTTGTGGGTGTACCCCCACTCTTTCACATACTACATCTACCCAGAGAACACTGTTGTTGCAGGGTTGTGGATATAACAGTATTTACCTGTCCCCTTAAATCTTTGCATTCCTCCCTGGGCCTTCACTTGTTTTCATCATTCTGCTGACCTTCCTTTTATATGTTGCCTCCCCTGTCACCCAAGTTAACACACTTGTCAACCCTGTAGCTAATGAAGTACTCTCCCCCCATCCTACCCCTATTGACCATGAAAAAATGCTTCTTCTAGCATGAGAAACTTTCCTTGAAATTTTGTAGTAGCAGTCTCATAAAATATTTGCCCTTTTGTGACCGACTAATGGGCTAATGGAAAGTAGGTTTGAACAAGGTTGGTGGTTAAACTCACAAGTTGCTCCTAGGAAACCCTATACAGAGTTGCGGTGGGTCAGAACTGATTCAACTGCACTTGAACAACAGCAAAAAATTTCCCTCAGCATAATGTCTTCCAGGTTCATCCTTGGTATAAAGTGTTCATTGTTACTCTTCATTGGAGTTAAACACTGTTAAGGAGGACTCTAGGTTCTGCTATTTGTAGAGTGTTACCTACATGTTAAGTGTGCAGATAAATAAGAATTCAGTATTCAGTCACTAGAGCCAACGCTTCCTTTGAAACATTCCCTTCCCCAGCTTAAACCTCTATATGGTTATGATTTAGGCTACAAGGGGTGTAGTGCTTCACATTTACTGATATTTTGAAATTCTGAAAGAAATGATGTACTAGATTGAGCTGGTAGGTTATTTTTGAAGTAATGGGGTGGATACAACTAAGGATGAGGGTGAGAAGGAGCAAAGAAGTTGGGTATTTAGAACTCTTTGGTGGACTATGCATGATAAATGGCCAACTTTAAACAGGCAAAAGAACACCTTCTGGCAGAGAGAAGTGGGCAATGCTAGTTTATGACTGTAATAAAGCGTTGGTGTTTTGGCTGAAAATGTAGGGATATACCTCGAAGGTGTTTGGAAGATAGGTTTTTTAAGGATTTGTTTTGGGAAATGAACATTTCCCCCCTTTGGAAGGGACAGCATTGATGGTGGTAAATGAAAGAATTCCAGCTGTGTGACACACTTGGACGCAGTGGGTGGTTGGCCTAGAGAAGGAAAGAAACAGGCTTCAGGTTGGCACAGAGGCTGCTTGTGACCTGAGGACAAGAGTGAGGGAAAGATAAATACACACAAAGCTTTTATTATTCCAATCTGATGATGAGAGTAATATATTTACAAGGGGGCTTCACAAAAAATTTGTGGGAAAATTCCATTATCTTGTCATTCCATTTTGCATGAATATTTTGAAGCCCCCTTATTCATATATATATTTATTTATTTATTTCTAGAAAAAGTCCCCCAACATCTATCCAGCAACTTTTCCAAAGACCAAATGCACCAAAAGTTTTTCATTTAAAACAATTTTTAATTTTTAAAACCAATTTCTCTGACTATACCAAAGCAAACCATTTCACTTCTATATTGACATAACAGAGCAACTGAAATAGAAACTAGGAACCCTAGTCATCTTTCAGAAAGTCTCTGGCCACACACAATCAATCTTAAGGGTAGAATTTGGATAGGGTTTCTTTGCTTATTTACAGGTTCAATGATTCAGCAAAATGTAACAAATCTAGTGTGTTGTTGTTAAGTGCCGTCGAGTTGATTCTGACCCATAGCGACCCTGCATAGGGTTTCCAAGGAGCAGCTGGTGAGTTTGAACCACCGACCTTGCAGTTCAAACAACTTTGCAGTCTGACGCATTAGCCCACAGTGCCACACCCGGACTCCAAATGTAATGCAGCCTAACTTAAATTCTTAACTGCATTCTAGACGTACTTTTGTGGTTGTTTAATGACGGCAATACTAACTCAAAAGATAAAAGGAAAAAAAGCCTGAAGTAACCAAATGATAATAAATGCATAAACCTTTTAAAGACAAGCTTTATCATAGACAACATTAGGTCATTTGGTTGTGAGGCAACCTGAGCCCAAACTATTGCCTAGCTCCTATACAGATACAGTGGGTGGTGGATCACAGTGTAATTTTGGGTTCCCAGCTGTTCCATGGGAGAAAGATGAGGCTTTCTGCTTCCATAAAGATTTACAGACTTGGAAACCCTGTACAGGTTCGCTATGAGTAGGAACCGACTCCACGGCACATAACAATAGCAACAACAGAATAAGTCAACTCAGAGTTCCAAAAAGATAAAACACCTAGGAATAAACCAATCAGGGGTGTAGAATACTTACACAAGGAAAATTATAAAGCACTAATGTAACACAGTAGGATAAACACTGGGCTGCCAACCACAAGGTCAGAGATTCAAACCTACTAAGTCACTCCTTGGAAACAACTACACAAGTTGCTAGGAGTCCAAAGCAACCTGATGGCACTTAACAACAACTGCAAGAAACTAAACTCTATATGAAAATACATTCCATGTTTATGGATTGGAAGACTTAACATTGTGAAAATGTCAATACTACTCACAGTGATCTATAAATATAATCCAAATCCAAATCCCAACAAATTATTTAATGCAACGGAGAAGGGGAAAACTGAATCTCTAATTCATATGGAAAGGAAAGAGGACCCAAATAGTTAATGCAGTATCAGGTATACAGTCATGGTATTCAAAACAGCCTGGTGTTGCCTTGCTTAAGATCTTATATTTGAATGTGTCCTTGTAACAACACAGACTATGAACAAATATAAAATATATAAAACTGTCATTTACTTTACAAACTAAACCACATTCAACTCTTCTGCTTTGGTCCATTAGGCTAGGACAACAGGAGCTATAGGCTAGGTGAAGGGTGGGGATGAAATCTCTCTGAAGATACCGCTCTCTCTGGGCTAAGTATTTCATACTCTCTTTTGAAAAGTAATTTGGAAATATTTCTAATTTGCATCCTATTTTATTAATCTTTTATAATTTTATGGTAT